GTTTGGTATCAGATCTTTAGCTTATTTTTGGAAGGAGCTCACCAGCCTTACACCAGCCTCGCTAACAGGGCTGTTATTCACGCTTATGGGAGAGGACACTGAAACTCAATACACTGAGCTCTCTCTCTCAAGCTTTGACTTAGGCCAAAGGGTAATGGTGAGGATACACAGAAATGTGCAAGTTTTGGAAACCAGCCACTGAGGAATCACTCTGGATACCAGAGCCTCATGGATGAGATGTATATTCAAGTCTCATGAAAAATTGGAATGTGCTTCATCATCTCTCCAGCTCTGGTTCAGTGACTTGGCCACCCAAGCAAGGTCTCTGCTGCTCTCTGGGCATGTCCCATGGAAACTCCCAGATTCGAGATAGTCTGATAGCATTGCTACATCAACGCCTAAATGGAATGTTCCTGTAGGGTAGCCCTCCATTCCGGCATCCTGTCCTGGCTCCGTTGGTTGTAGCCAGGGAGCAGCCTGCCTCTTGCTCCAGGTGCAAACCATGGCAACACGATACAGAGAGAAGTGCTTGGGAATATTCCCTCCCAAGTAAGGTTGGCTCTGGTCTGTCTAGTAACCTTCAGGGAAACTGAGGCAGCAGGGAGTATCCAGAACAGCAGACTTTGGAATCAGACAGGCCTGGGGCTGAACCCTGGTGCTGCCACTTAAATCAGTTTCCTCAACAATAAATTGTGGATATCACCCACCACACAGAAGTGTTGTGAAGATCAAGTAACACAAAGTGTTTAGCATAGTGCTTGGCATGTAGTATGTGGACTTAGTGATAGGACTTGGTGGCTGTTTTTTTTTAAACATTGGAAATATATAAGAGTGAAAAAAATTTACTTGGTTTTATCACCCTATCACTTAGCCCCTTATCACTGATAGTGTGCCAAATTCAATTTTTTTCTTTTTTTGAGCATAGCTTATCTGTTTTATTTTAAAACATAATTTTTAAAGTAATTCTCTTAAGGGACTTATCCATTATTTAACTTAAGGCTTTATATGCTATGGAGCTATTTCCTTCCATGGTACTTTTTAATGTAAAGTTTGTTTTACGTGGTTGTAGTTATATATGATTATGCATTCTGATTTCTTTCACATGATAAAATGTTTTTATGTTATCAATTCTGTACACAGTTTCAGAAGACATGCTGAAATTTATATAAAATTACCTATTGTTGGATACCTACCAATAGAGCATTGGTTGTGTAAATGGCAGTACATTCATGTATAAAATATTAAGCAGCCATTTTAAAAGATACAGTAGAAGTATATTTGATAACATAGAGACATGTTCACAATTATATGTAAAATGAGATGATTTAACCTAAAGATTGGCTGCCTCCCAAATCTACCTGGATGTTCACTGCCTTGGTCTCAGCAGCTTTCTAACTTTAATGGGCCTCAGAATCACCAAGGGAGCCTGAAAATGCAGGTTTTAGGCTTCCTGCCTAGGGTTGGATTTAGGAGACAGGGCTCAGGGATTGGCGTTTTCACAAAGATCCAGATGATTCTAATATGGAAATGACGCTCTGCCCATTTCTGCCTGTTGAAGCTCTACAAGGTATGTCTGGAACAAGTCCAACCATTGTTAATATAATGAGAACAGTTTACAGGACATCGATGTAACCAGGCGGCCAAGGAGAGTGGACTGGAATGTGCACGTGTGAACAGTGATGACTTCACTGTACTAATCAGTGGGGGCGGTAGACGTCATTGAGCGAGCATGTGTACTGTGTGGCCATCGCATTCAAAATGACTGAGCAAGTAGAGCAAAAAATCTGCATCAAATTTTGCATTAAGTTTGAACATTCCTCCGTGGAAACTATCTGGATGATTCTGGAAGGCCACAGCTGTGGGCAACTGGTGATTTGGCAGCTTTATCATGACAATGTGCCTGCTTATGCATCAGGTCTCATGCAGAGTTTTTTGGTGAAACATCAAATCACCCAGGTGATTTAGCCACCCCTACAGCCCAGATTTGGTGCCCTGCGACTTCTGGCTGTTCCCAAACTAAAATCGCCTTTGAAAGGGAAGATATTTCAGACCATTGATGAGAGTCAGGAAAATACAACAGGGAAGCTGATAGCAATTGGGAGAACTGTGTGAAGTCCCAAGGTGCCTCCTTTGAAGGGGACTGAAGTGCCATTGTCCTATGTAAAGTGCTTCTTGCATCTGGTATCGTCTTCAACAAATGTCTCTATTTTCCATAGTACGTGGAGGGATGCCTTCTAGACAGACATCCGACTTCAATTTCTGAGCTTCTCCTATCTTGAAAGCTCCTATAGAGTTTTGTGGTCCTTATAGCCTGTCTTCTTGTCTTTGCGCAGCCTTCTGAATTGTAAGACTCTCCCCCGCCCTCCAGACAAACCCAGCTGGACACCCCCATCACATCACTGGGATTTGTGTCAAGCCCCCAGCGAGTTCCTGAATACGGATACCGAAAGAGTTGGAATCCAAGTTTTGTTTACCTTGTAATGAGGAGAAAGAGACCAAGCAATCCATAACTATTAAGCACACCTGGTATTAACAAGCACCTTGGGGAATAAAGGTGACCTTTCCAACCCTGATAGGAAAAAGAATCTTGTTTAAATTACCCTTACCTTGGCAATCAAGCTATGAAAGGTAAATAGTTTGTCCTTTGTATATTCACCCTGGTCGAAACCAGAGACAGCCAGAGTTCATTGGAGAGCGTGCTTAAAACCCTTCGAGAGGCTTGTCATCCTAAAGTATTGTATGAATCTCTTCCGGATTTATTGCTTGGTTTCTTTCTTAGAGTTTGTGCCATTGAGGTTTATTCAAGGTGAGTTTCTCATCTTGCAGTTCACTTAGGGGTCATTTGTGCTAAAATTGAAGTTGAGTTTCCCATCAAAGTATTTGTTTTTTTAACTGGTTTGGTTTCTCCCCTTCCTCAAACCAAATAATATTGACTATCCATGTCTAGTCAGGTCTTGTTGTCTTACACTCCCCTTTATTTAACAGGCCAGCCATTGCAGATGTAGATTATAAATATAACAATCGGTAAATATTATGTTGAAATGATGATGAATTTTTTCCCTTGCCTATAAGGGGACTAGACCATATGTTGTACAAATCTGTGATTATTGTAGCTTTAAAAGCATGAATAGCCACCTAAAAGTATTCCCCGGAAGGAAACCTAAAAAGCCAGGTGTGATAGCTCACTCCTCAAAAAAAGCTCTTCGTTGTTCACAAGAAAATGTTACCTTTATACAATTAACTCAAAATGACCTGAGAATTGGTATTATGGGAGGATGGAAGGTTCTGGTTAATGAAATGGTTCTGGCGGGTGAACTGTGCTGGGCCACATAGCAAACTCATTCTTCTGAACCCCATTCAGACATCCGATCCAAAGCCCTATACCTGTGAAGTTTTACGTGATCCCCATCCTTGGAAAAGGTTATCCATTCATTTTATCCTACATCCACAACAATACTTTATACACAGTACTATGATCATATGTCACAGTCTAGTGTAATTCCACGTTTGCATGGTGCTCTTCCCTACTAGATCAGAAACTCACTGGGCATAGAGTGACTTACCTGTATAGTCTAATCCCTGGTTATATGCCCAGATAAAATAGTGCTAAATAAGTGGATGTATGAATGTTCTGCACTGAACAGGTGGCATAAATCAGATAAACTGCATTTGGGGTTATTTTCTGGGAATTCCTGTAGTTACTAAATTTAAAGCCATCACCTTATTGTTATAATAACAATAAATGGTGAAAAATGTAAGTCCAGTATCTGCTTCTCCTTGGATTTCTCAAGGCAACTGAGTGTCCCCAGGCTGTGGGACCCCTGATTTAAGGAACTAGAAATTCTGCAGAAACCTTCTCTACATGAGCCCATTCGCTGCTATTAAATTCCTTTCTGGGCTCTTGAATTCCACAGAAGGCTTAGATATCACAACTATTTCAACTTTGTATACATGTGATAGATATCAAACTTACAATCCCCAATCTCTAATCTTTAAATGTTTGCGTTCAAAGAGCCAGATGATTATAGAACTGAAAGGGGCCTCTTCATTTTCCTGATTAGGAAACCAAAGCTCTTGAGACATGGGCAGTTTTCATTAGTGGACGTGCGCTAATTGAAATCAAGTAGACAGGATTCAGGTCTTGGCCCTGAGGTTCCAGTCACAGCCCCCTACTGGCTGGCTTTGTGATCACAAGCAGTTCACTTAATTTTTGAAGATCAGCTTTCTCATTTGTGAAGTTTGGTTACGAATCCATCTTGGTGAGTTGTGACAAGGGATTTACCCGAGATAATGTGAACCAGGGTACCAACTGTAATGTCTGCACAAAGAAAATCCTCAATGATCTGTAGTTTCTGCCCTTCCTTGCCCACATCAAACCATCTGTGAGAGAGTTATGACCTAGCTGTTTTCCGGGAGGTATTATTAGGACACACTGTGGTTCCCAGTTTACTTTACAAGACAAGGGCACATTAAGGACACTCATTGCCAAGGAGCTGTGTCCCCTCAGCATCTGAAGACAAGACGCAGGATTTCTCACCTGAAGAACAAGCTCTCTCCTGAGTTATGTGTTTTGTGGCTGTTGCTGCCTTCCCTTTTCCTTGCCCCGAGAGTCATGGTACCCAGCCAACCATCAACTGCAGCTTAAGTTTGTATAATTGTGTGAATTAACAGATCACTTCTATAAAGTACTAGAAACTCATAGCAAAGTGTGTAAGCATTTTGGAAAAATCAGGTACATGTAGCCTCATAAGTCTTCAGGTTTTAAAAAATCACATCTTAATATAGTAAGTTAAATATTTGTGCTAAATTGAAAGGGTTTTGGCTGGCAGTAAACTAGGAGCGCTTTAAGCGCAGAGGCATTAGTCATGACCTGCAGTCACTATGAAACATTAATCAGGTGGGACAAGCAGCATTGTCTGTTTCCTTTGGTCACTCTCCCAGAGTTCATTTGTCATTTTAAAAGACAACTTATTTTTTCGATCTTTTTCTTCCCTATAAAGGCAGAAACCTGTGGGTTCTTGTTGTGGGACGCTCACCAAAGGAACACAGAATTGGGATCCCAGAGTTCAAATACGTGGCAAATATGCATGGAGATGAGGTATGTATGGGGCTTGAACATCTAAAATGTCACCACAGAAACTTCTCCTCTGGGCTTTTGAGCTCTTTGTAAATGCCAAGGAGGCAGCACAAATTATAGCAAAGAATCTGGACAGGTTTTCCTTTTAGGCCTTCTGCAAGAATAAGGACCCAGGGCCCAACCACCATTGCAGCCAGTTGGTTGTTTACCCAGTGTCCTGTGAGGGTCACTTGAGCTTGTTTTGTTTGGGGGCTGGGAGACCAGTAGCGCCCAAACTCCAACTGCCAGCTGAGTCTGCAACCTCCTTCCTGGGTTGATTTCCCTGCCTCCTGGTCAGCATCAAGGTGACCTAGCAAAGGACCTAAATTCTATTTGAACTTAAAACCACAAGAAGATCCCAAATAGCTCTCCAAACTCATAATTTCTGGGTTTTTGAAAGCTTTTGTCACCTGCTCTTAATATTCAGTGCTTTCAATGCTCAATTTAGACAAAGTTAGAGTTCTCTGATACCCACCATTCTACAAACCCATAAATTCTGTAATGTCTTGCGCCTGTTCCAACTTGGCAGGGATAAGCTCTATTTTTGCTTGGTTTTCTGTTATTTATGTTATATTTTGCAAAATGCCCTTTTACCACTTCTACCTGCCCTGCCATTCTTGCTAGGCATTTGAAAGTGCTCGCCACTATGTCTCACCTTACTTCCTCAGAGCAGTTTAAGAATATGGCAACTGTAGTATTTTCTGTTCACCAGGACTCCATACAATTAGGCGAACAAGCGGAAGGGAAAGACAGAACCTAGTCATCACATCGAAGAAAGTTTATGTAGGAATAGTAACAAACTATAAAACACACTTAACTTTAAGGAATGTCAAAGTAAAAATATATCCAGTAAGTACCACTGGCTGGCTTGTTAAAACACTTCTGAAGCTGCCGAAGTGTGGGTGGCATGCTCTAACCAAACGCTGAGCTTCCTGTCCTGGCTTAACCCTCCCCAAACCTGGGCTTCAGGACCCGCCCCTCATCACACACACACACACACACACACACACACACACACACACACACACACAGCCTGCCCTTTCCAGGCATGCTGCCCAACCTGTCCTGCCCAGGGCGGGCACTTCTTGCATCTGGAGCTAACATGCAAGCGCTGGCCTCCAAGTAAGGGGCTGATCTTTGAACCTGATTCGTAGGCGAGTGGAAGTTCAATCCCCCTGTGACTTTTTTGAGCATAATGGGCTGTGTTTTCAAAGACTTAATATTGCTGGGAGTCTGACCAAAGTTGTTTTTAATAAAACAACCATTCATTACAGACAGCAGCCCAGATTTCCTTTCCCTGTTGATCAAGGTCCCGTGGAATCCATTTTTTATAAGAGATATATGACACTTATTGACTTCAGTTGCTTTTTTACTGAATTCCTGGCATTTCAGAGGGTGCAGCCTATTACTCAAAAATTATTCCTCTGAATCGAAACTCCCAAAGATAAACAAGAGCCCTTTCCCTCACTCATCTCTGAATTTGATTATTCCTCCCAAGTACATTCCTAAATTTCTGGCATCTTGCTCCGCAGGTAGTTAGTGCATCCCATCAAATCAGGGCTCTCTAGTTCACTTTGACCTGAGGACTGAGATTGGGCAGGGGAAAGTTCCAGTGTGTTTTGGGGTTGGGACCTGACATCCTGTTACCCTCTGTGTGTCCCGGCTGGGAGCAGAGTTTGTGGGCTCTCTGAGCCATTGAGACACTCATCATTCTGAATCTGAGATCTTGTATATTCTGCCATCCTGGTGCCCCTGGGAGCTGGGGGAAGCGGTGGCTTAACCCAGGAGAGCAGAGGAGCCACGGGAGTTAGAGGATCTGACTGCTTCTTTCATCCTTCTTCTCTCAGGTCTTCTGGCACTGAAAGAACATTTTTAAAACCCACTATTAAAAAGAAACATATGCCCTGGCTGGTGTGGCTCAGTGGATTGAGTGCCAGCCTGTGAACCAAAATGTTGCCAGTTCGATCCCCAATCAGGGCACGTGCCTGGGTTGAGGGCCAGGTCCTCAGTCAGGGGCGTGTGAGAGGCATCCGATTGATATATCTCTCATACATTGATGTTTCTCTCCCTCTCTTTTTCTCTCCCTTCCCCTTTCTCTAAAACTGAATAAATAAAATCTTTTTTAAAAAAAGTAAAAATAAAAAGCAGCATAGTTAACATTTTAGGGCAGTGGTTCTTAACCTTCTTGGGATGGAGTCCTTACTATTCTGGCACAAACTTTGAGCGCTGACCTCAGGGTCTGTGGCTCTCCTGGGAGTTGCGGACCTCCTGCGGGGAGCCCAGCTGGGCCATGTGTGCGCAGAGCAGCGTGGTGGACAGAACTAACCACACTATTAAAAAACGTTTCCTCTTTTCCCTGGACCTACCCCAGTGTGTGTGTGTTTCCACACATAGTGCCACGGCCAGATGACAGTCGCAACAATGTCAGGAAGACACGATTCTGTTACCAGACCGGCCTTGTACCTCATTCTTACTTTAGAACCCGATATTTTTTTAACTTAAAAATAATGTTTTTACAAAATTAACATATGTACACCTTAGAAAAAATAGAGATAAGCAAACAAGGAAGCTTGTATATTGACCTTCCAAATATTAGGACTGGTAATTCCTTATTATTTATTGTTCCAGATTTTTGCATGTGCTTGTACAAGTCTGCACTTTTAACAAATGAGCACAGTAATTTGCTCTTTAAAATATTTTTAAAGTTAATACTAACTCCCCTTTCATGTCAATAGATCTTTGTTCTATCTTCACATTATACTCCACTTTCTAGTTCCTCCAATTGTCCTCAAAATGTCCCCTGAAATTGCCCAAATAAGGATCCAGTCTAGGACGGTGTATCACATTTGGTTGCTATACCCCTCGATTCTCTTTTAATCTGCATTTAAAGAATCTTTTCATGACAGTAGACTTAATAAAGACCTGATCAGTTGTCCTGCAGAATGTCCCATGTTCTGCATATTTTGTTTCCATCCTTATTGTATCATTGAACTTGTGTTTAGTTCCTCTGTTTACTTCAAATGAGAAGTTAGATCTAAGTTTGTTGGACTTAGGTGAAATGTTTTTGGCCAATACGCATCTTAGAAATTGTGAAGACAGGTTACTTCGGCTGATGCTGAGGGTTCAGGCCCATTAGGCTGGCTACACACAGGAATGCAAACACCAAACTGGGAGTAGCAAAATCAACTTAAAATGGCCTCTCTACAAGCAAGTACTGTTACAGAAGAAATGAAGTTAAATCTACTCTTGTATTATATGATATTTTCCTTGTTGTCTTCAGTCACCTTGCCATTGGCTCACGGCCTTTCCATGACACTGGCTTGCTGTGCAACATGGATCAGGTGGCAAGTTACCTTCTCTACAGTGCATTACAGGAAAACAGGGGAAGTAGCCAACAGGCATTGAGCACAGACTGCACTAAGCTTTTGATCAGCTCTGCGGGAGGCACGTCTGTTAGTCATTTACCTGGAAGGGAGGCCAGCTTTGTGCTGGGTCCTCAGCTACCTGAACCCAGAGCTGGAGCCCTCAGCTCTGCCTCCTTTACTCTCCCTGCTGCTTTTGGAATGTTATGTTTTTATTGTTTTTATTTTTACATACGAATTGAATTAATTTTCTTTCGATGGATACTTCCTTGCTCCAGTGCCATTTGACAACAGGATTAGGGTTCGTTCACCACGTGAGAGGAGAGCAAGCTCAGAGAAACACCAGAGTGAATATCTCCCAGTCACCTCTCTGTCCCTTTCTTGTTCCCGCTCCCTGCTCTCCCCCACCCCACCCCCACCCCCGACAGCTCTGGAGTCACACGGGGGAGCTAACTGACATATGATAAGCCTTCATCACCTGATGTTCATGCTGTTTCAGAACATGGGAAAAATATTTCCGAGTTTCTGCCTTTCTCACGTTAATAAGAGCAGGTGTTTTTCTGGGCTGTCCAGTCCTTTGCACATACATTGGTGCGTTGCATCGTAGAAGCCCCATTTCTAGGTTTAATTCATGCAAGCTCCTAAGTGGCAGTGCTGACACACCTGAAGACTAACAACTGCTTTAGTCACAAGGGACGGCAGCCGTGCACAGTGAGTGGGGCCCGGTGCCATCCCCTCACTCTGCCGATGCTCACGTTGTTTGGGAGTCGGGCCTTTGCCTCCTTGCCGGGCCCTCCGCCTCATTCCGCCCCTGGCTGGCTCTGGAGTGAACGATAACCCAACGTCTACAATCAGAGCTTCACTGAAACCTGGGACCCTGCCCTGAAACTGGAAACAACTAATACCTGCGCCTATCTGTGGGTGCAGGAGAGAAGTCTGGGAAATCGCTGCTTCTTCCTTCCTCAAACCCTCCCCTTGCTTTGCTTTGTGTCTGTCTTCTCTTCCATTTTTAAAAAAAACTTTGTAGAACAAAACAATCTTATACTTGGGTAATTTCCAGACTGTTAAGATATGTCTAATTCCTCTCTAATGAAAATATGTATTAAAGTGAGGCCTGACTATGTGCTTAAAAAGTGAGGTGCCGATAGTTTTAAACTAGTCCAGTAATAGGCAAAGTACAGGTCAGAGGCTGGGTTCGCAAGGTGCCTTTGATCTCAGCACCCATGGTCATAAGTAGTATGGGGGTCAGTCTTCAATATGTGTTTGTTAAGCTTCACTGAGTTGCCAATTCTGATTTTTTTGGAGATTATTATTTAAAAGTTTCTGTTCCTTAAATATCAATGCATTATTTTTACTATGATGATTTATTTGGGTATAGGCTTTTGAAATATCCACATCACACTTAGAACTTTACATCAATTCATATAACTAATTGTATGAGTATTCCAGATATATAGGTTGAAGAGAAAAACATTCTCTGGATAATAATGACCATATTTTTCAACTTAAAAAGATAAATGACTTTCACACACTTTCTGGATATGAGACAGGTTGTGAGATGTAGTTTGTATGTCTAAATGTTTTTAGAAGGTATTTTAATGTTTACGTAAACATTAGGACATACTCTCTGAAACTGTGCCTGTCCTGGAAAATCTAAGATGTGTAGTTAACATGTAGAGGTTCCAAACTTAGTAAAAACAAAACAAAAAATTAAAGCATTAAAGCTTGTCCTTCCAAATGCCACTTCCCAAGTTTCTTTTCCAGTTGATAGCAAAATGTCCTCAGTTTTGCAGCATGGCTTTGGATAATTAATTCTTTCTTTTTGGATTTAGACAAAATTAATCTTTACTCCAGATGAAGTATCTAATTCCTTTAAGGCATGTATTTAATTCCTCATATAACTATCCTTTTTCTTTATCTCCCTCTTGGCTGGGGTGACCAGAAATCCAGAGTCTTCAGCATGACCAGAATTGTTAACCCCACCCCTGTAAAATTTGTTTAATATTGAAAATCCTTCAAAGGAAATAACTTGAGCATTTGCACATCTCTCCTCACTAAGGGCCTTGAGTCCTCATGTTTTCAGAAAGTTCCGTCTTAGAATAGTCTTGACCTTGTAATGGATTTGTCAACAGTAATTTTTGAGTACATGCTGTATCAGGAGCTGGGTGAGACACCAGTGCTACAGAGAAAGCCGTTAGGATCCCTGCCCCCAGGGATTTTAGGTGGTGGAGTGGGGCAGGGTGGTCTGCCAAGGTCCGTCAGCCCTTGTCATGTATTTGAACTGTTAGGACACCACGAGCAAGGAGAGTTATGGGACCACAGAGGCAGGAAATGGAACCCTGACTTTGGGAGGCCCAGAAGTGTGCTAGATACTGTAATAGTTAGGCTATGTGAAGGAGGGCTTAGCTAATCAATCAGACAAGTGAATTAAATCTGTAACACCGTTGTGCAGCCTCGGAGCTGACAGGCTTATTTTTCTCCCCAGAAGCTGCATTGCAGTGTAGCATTGCCGCAACAGATCCTGTCACCGGGAGAGCTGAAGCTTTTGTGCCAGCGCTCACACTCACTCTCACGCACCACACTGCCTATGCTGTGGGTTGTTTCTACCAAAGAATGTTTACGTTCTTTATACACATTCTTGAAAGAGCTCAATCACTCAATTTTACTCTCTAACAAATTCCAACTTGACTGTACTGAATTAAAACTGATAGAGTTATTTTCTGGTTTCCGGGTTATTGGCATTTTAACTACCGGATGAATTATGAGGGAAAAGCTCCTGAAGCTGGTATGTTCATCCAGCCTTTCAGCTTCTTCACTGAGGATTCTCTCATTAAGACCACACTCTCCCCAAAAGGAAGTCAGCACGCTAAGTGAAAGGCCAGTTAAGCTATTGAAGACTGTTTGACCACATTCTTTCTTAAAATTTGGATTCTCTAAGGTTTCATATTCAAAGACTTAATTTTAAATGAAGGGAAGTAAATACATAAAACATGAGTGTTTGAGACATTTATATTAAGCTTGGGAAGAATTAATTTGAATATTATTTGGCATAAATCTGCTGTTACAGAGTCAGCAAAAATATGGCCCAACAAAAAAAAGAGGACTTTGTTTAATTCCCCTTGAAATTTCATCTGTTTACCTCAGCATTTTTAAATTATCGGACTCTTTGTTAGTTCTTTATTGTATTTCCAAGATTTTTATTTATCCTCTGCAGTTAGGAACTTGTGATTTGTTTTGGCATATCGAGACAAACGGAAAATATCTTTATTACACATTTTTTGCTTGAAAAAAATCATGATTTTATTGTTTTTTCCCCACTACGATAGATTTTCTTTGGTTTAAAAGTGACACTGGAAAAATAAGAGGAAATAAGAATCATTCAGAATACCATCACTAAAAAATAACTATCATTAATATTTGCTAGACATTATCCAAGACATTTATGTATTTCTGTAGTAAGAGAATGAGAAGGATTAAAAGGATAGAAAATAAAATGTGTGTCATAGCATATGTTATCTTTAAATAAATTGTAAGGTTGAGATTTAATTTTACTTGGATTTAGCAATAAAACTGAAGTGAAAATAAAATAATTGGTGAACTTGATATTGTCTCAAAAAAGAAATTGATTATCAAAAGATTCCTCTAAAGTAAAAAAAAGTTACAAAAATCTTTGAAATTATTCAAAATTATTTTAACTTTTGACAATATCTTACAAGCCATTGCTATGAAAAGTGAAGAAACTGGCACTTTGAAAAGTTTTCTCTCTTCTCCTTTCCTTGCCCCCAGCCTCTAGGCTCTCTGCTAATTATAAGTCTTAACTTTTATACTATATTCTGTACCCATATTACCACAGTTGCTTTCTCTAGTTTTATAGCTTAATCATAACTTCTTTACTCTCCTTTGTTTTCATTTGCTTTTGGTTGAATGAATTTCATTGCCAACTCATACCTTGAGTTCTGGCATGCTTGAGGGTATATGGCTCAGACGGGGAAGAGGAAATTCACAGTCAGAACCCCGTGGGGATTCTGAGAGGGCTCTCCTGAGTACTTGACTTGGGACTCAGATGGGTCTCCGGTTTTTCCTGGACCATCCCTCTAACTGAACCATCCTACAGTCTCCAACTAGCATTTGAATTTCTTAGGAGCTGCAAGTGATTCCTGGTTTCTTCCTCCTCCCTTTTCTTTACTTTTTTCTCTTCCCCAACCCCTTGCCAGAAGAGCTCCTTAAATCACCTATACTTTCTACATTTAAAGTCGCCTTTGAAAATTAAAGTCACCAGTCCCTTCTCTACTGGCTTTAGTGTAGCCAGTAAAAAGCTCATGGAGGTTGCGTCCAAAAGTGCTTGGAGCTTCCAAAACACAGAATTGAAAACCCAGTGTATGGCTCACTTGACTTTTAGTTCGTAAGGACCTTTTCAAGTGACAAACTTTTATTGTAAAAGCAAAAGTCACAGTAGGGGAAAAAGAAAGAAATGAGCAGGAAAAAAATTGAAGTCAGAACTGAATATATTTCCACTCTGAATTTTATGGCTATCTATGAATATGTAATTGACATATACCACATTTCCTTAGTCCCAATTATTGTGTTTATTCAGATAACAGATTCACAAAATGTGGTCTCTTTGCTTGTTTGCCAAGGAGGGGCATAGAGGAATTGCTCATCCTTTGTCACAGCAGTGAATTCCTACAGCGGAGCTGTAACTGAACATTCTTTTCCTGCCCACTGCAAACATCAGTGCCTCCTCAGCACTGTCTGTATTTATCCACCTGCTGGTCCGGCTCCCCATTTCCTAACTGCTCGCCCACATCTGATTGTATGTAAGAGGTAAACATTCCTTCCTCAGAAACATTCCTTGAATCCAGGATTACAGGGAGTAATTAAGATGGCCTAATCAAATCTTTCTATAATAAGGCTGAAATGTGAATTGCTTTTGTTTTTTAATAAGAAAAATAGTAAATCTCTTCTTTGAGAACTGTAAAGCACGATCTCTCACAGGCCGTCAGTTGATCAATCATTGGTACATAGGATAATTCTAGGTGGACGTAATGACCATTTTATTTTCATAGTCATGCTTTTGTTTTAATGTACGTTAAAAACAAACATATAGAAAAATAGTAATGACACAAAATGTTTCTTTTCTTCGACATTCAATAATAGTTTTATATTAGTTTGGGGCATACAGCACACTTTACAAAGTGTTCACCTGGATACTTCTAGTGCCCCCTTGACACCATATAGTTATTACAATGTTATTAACTGTATTCTCTATGCTGCACTTTACATCTCCTGACTATTTTATAACTACCAACTAATACTTCTTAATCCCTTCACCGTTTTCACCCAGCCCCCCCGAAGCCCCCTCCCCCTGGCAACCATCAGTCTGTTCTCTGTATCTTTAAGCCTGTTTTGTTTTGTTTGTTCATTTGTTTTGCTCTTTAGATTCTACATACAGGAGTGGGCAAAAGTAGGTTTACAGTTGTTCAAAGCAAATAATACCATACTAATACAAAAATAAACTATTTTGCATACTCAAAACTATAAAGCCACTTTTGCCAGCCCCTGTGTAAGTGAAATCATATGGTATTTGTCTTCCTCTGACTTATTTCACTTAGCATAATACCCTCTAGGTCCACCCATGCTGTCACAAATGGTAAGATTGTTTTTAGTGGATGAGTAATATTCCATTGTGTATACATGTACCACAATATTTTTATCCACTCATCTATTGATGGGCACTTGGATTGCTTCCATAGGTTGGCTATTGTAAATAATGCTACAATGAACATAGGGTACATATATTCTTTGGGATTAGTGTTTTGGGTTCACTCTAATTCCTTTTTAAAAAGTAAATTATTTACAACCCTGACTGGTATGGCTAAATGGATTGAGTGCCATCCCACAAACCAAAAGGTCGCTGGTTCGATTCCCAGTCAAGGCACATGCCTGGTTATGGGCCAGGTTCCCAGTGTTGGGAGAATGCAAGAAACAACTGATAGATGTTTCTCTCTCTCTTTTTTCTTCCCTTCCCCTCTCTCTAAAAATAATTAAATTTTAAAAATTGCTAAAGATTTCATGTATTTATTTTTAGAGAGAGGGGAAGGGAAGGAGAAAGAGAGGGAGAGAAACATCAATGTATAAGAGAGATATTGATCAGTTGCCTCTCGCACACTCCCAGCTGGGGACGTGGCCCGCACCCCAGGCCTGTGCCTGGACTGCAAATCAAACTGGCGACCTTTCCCTTTGCAGGATGCCGTTCTATCCATTGAACCACACCAGCCAGGGCTCAATTAAATAAATAAATAAATAAGTATTTACAGATGGGTATTTTTTTCTTTAACTTTTAAAAGAACTTGTACTGACAAATAATTTCAGCACACCTGTTATTGATTATCACTTGCCAGAGTATTGGTCTGCTTGGGAAATGGTGGTCCCTCTCTCTCTTGCAGCTGGTTTTGGAATCTACCATGTGTAGAGTCCCTTGTTCAGGAATTTGTGCTTTGGGGACTATTCTTGTTTTCCTCTGACCTAACAACACCCCTTTCCCACATACAGACTGTTGGGCGGGAACTGCTGCTACATTTAATTGAATATCTCGTAACCAGTGATGGGAAAGACCCTGAAATTACAAATTTAATCAATAGTACCCGGATACACATCATGCCTTCAATGAACCCAGATGGATTTGAAGCTGTCAAAAAGCCTGACTGTTTTTACACTAACGGAAGGTAAGAAGGGGCTCGTCAATCTTTATTTAAAATAGAACAAAACAAAAAGGCCCCCATGGGAGAGTCCCCTTGGCCCTGGCGAGAGGAGGTAGGGAGGCATCTCACGGCCCGCGTCTTGTCATGGCTGTGCCGAGGTCTCTTCCGGGCTGCCGGCTCATCGCTCTTAGGATGAAAAGTAAAATCCCGGATAAGGCTGCTTCACTGCTGGGCCCCCTCACTGCTTCATTTGCCGCCCCTCCCCCTCATGCTGCTCCAGAAACTTGGACCCCTCCGCTCTGCAACTCCCAGGTTCTTTCTCATCCCCCACATCCCCCTCCTCACCCCTCCCACTGCTTCACCAGCATGTCCGCAAATCCCCCTTCCCTAGCCTGTGACGACCTATTAGGTTCCCAGTCATACTCATGTCACCTGGCACTTGACTTTCATAGCACGATTTTTAATGTCCAACCTACAGCCCATGAGCTGCATGCGGTCCAGGATGGCTATGAATGAGGCCCAATGTAAAATTATACATTTACTTAAAACCTGTTTTTTGTCCATCAGTTTTTGTTAGTATTTGTGTATATATATTTTTTAATATATATTTTATTCATTATGCTATTACAGTTGTCCCATTTTTTCCTCTCCTTTATTTCCCTCCACTCTGTACCACCCCTGTACATTCCTTCCTTCCTTCTTCCCTTCCTTCCTTGCTTCCTTCCTTCCTTTTTGAAGTGAACAGACCCCCAAGATTTTATCTTCATAATGAAACAAAATATGAAGCTTGGAACTGGATCTTCTTTCTCTTCTTATCTCTTTCTAGTTCAAAATGCTTGACTCTCTTAATAGTAGCATTTTCTTAGATCTGCAGTTGGGCTCAATGCATTCAAGCCTCAGCACAATCTTCTTTGTAGTTTTAGCCTTTTTTGCAGAAAATCAACAGTCTGACGTCATAGCCACTCTGCTTCCCGTCATTACGCTGCTGTCCTTGCGCATACAGAGGATACTGCCTTTCTTGTACTGTGTCACTTTGTGGGGTAGATGCTTACCACACTTCCACGGAAAGTTCAGCGAGTTTTGGGAACATTCACCGTGTTTGCAAGAGCACTGTCAGTGTAGAAAGCAGTATTTCTGATTTAAACAGTTTATTTTGTTTCAAGTTACCTTAGGAAGTTTGGATTTTCTCAAATGTCTAATATACGTTTATATTTGTGTAACTAAAATTTAGTTGCTTTTACCAAAAAAAAAAAAATCTCACCACTTGATTCCCTTCAAGTTTTCCTAGCATGCTTAAACATGGCCAGTCTGCTTTTTAGAAGTACATTTGTATAAAGTAGCACATTCCAGTGGTTTCCACTATCAAATGTTGGGTGGGCCGAAAAGTCCGTTTAGTTTTTTCCGTAAAATAAAAGACACATTTTTCATTTTCACCAATAACTTTATTGGTTTGGATATTTTGAGTATGTCATCTCTCTCCCCCATGGTAGAATGATGATTGTTCTCAATTAATGTCTCAATTTGATCGCTATCAACTTCAATGGGTCTACCTGACCGTAGAGCATCGTCCAGCAAGAAATCTCCATCACGAAACTTCACAAACGACTTTTGACACAGTCAGTGAGTCACAACACCTTTTCCATACACTGCACAAATCTTCTTTTGCATTTCAGTTGCATCTCTACCTTTCTTGAAATAATAAAGCATAATATGCTGAAAGTGTTGCTCATTTTCTTCCATCTTCAATATTAAAATGGCTACACAAAAATTCACCAATTTTGATTGGCTTTTTTATTAAATACATGCTAATATGACAGCTGTCACACTACAATCTAACAAAATTGTTTCAAATGAAGTAAAAGACAACTAAGCACTACCAGAGCCATAGTATGGAAAAAAACAAACTTTTTGGCCAACCAATACTATGTAATAAACCACCATGTAATTTCGGGACTTAAAACAACAAATTTTTATTTACTCTCAATTCTATAATTTAGGAATTTGGTCAGGGCAGAAGAGGGATGGCGTGTCTCTGTGCTATGATGTCTGGGGCCTCGGCTGGGGTCTGGCTGAGACCACTAACTCGGGACCACGTCTGGAGTCTTCTCACCTGGGTTCCTCATTTCTCTGTGTGGACTCTCCACGCGGCTAACATTGGGATCTCAGGGTCCCAAATGGAGTGTTCCAAGAGCAAGCACCCCAAGGTGGAAACGCTTATCAAACCTCTGCTTACGTCACAATAGCTACTATCCCGTGGGTGAGAGCAAGTCACACGAGAGGGGGATGACATATTGTGTGAACGCCAGGCGTGGTTCACTGGAGGCTGCCGAGGCGACCACCCCCCACACCGGGAGCCCAAATGAAAGGTCGCCCATGGCACGAATCTACTCCCTCACATACCACCAGTAAACCCTAAAACATTCTTTCTCTTAAAGGGAAAATGGTAACTTCTATGACCTGAATAGAAATTTCCCCGATGCTTTTGAATTTAATAATGTGTCAAGGCAGCCTGAAACTATGGCAATCATGGAGTGGCTGAAAACAGAGACATTTGTCCTCTCCGCAAACCTCCACGGTGGTGCCCTGGTGGCCAGTTACCCGTTTGATAACGGTGTTCCAGGTAAGCAAGCAGGGGCCTGGCTCTGGCTTTCTAAGTCCAGAGTGAAACTGTAAACTCTCTGCCTCTGAATGGGGATAAGCCCTCCTCCTCAATTACCTTCTCTGGAAGGGGTAGAAAAAGCCTCATTTTCTCAACACTGAGCCACCCATCCTACAATTTATAAACAGTGGATGGACAGTATGGCTGAATTGACAAGCAATAACAGGATTACTTGACATTTATCAATGAAACAGTAAAATTGGGATTTAGATTATCCCACAAGAGGCAACAAGGCGAAGAGAAAATAGAACTAGAATAACTCACCTTTCTCTGCTAATCATATGAGTAATAATTGCTGACTCCTCTGAAAACTCTGTAGGATGAGGTCTATACCAAAGACTTAAAATATTACGGTGGCTTCATTTAACCCTTACAGAACCTAAGGAAACTTTACTGACTTCCTGAAAATAGCAAGAGTGACTACGAGGCTATTTAACTGTTAATCAGATATAGAGGAGCTTGGATATGCAGATGGCTTATTTTGTGTGATGCCACCTTGTGTGTGTTCATTAAACACTAAGAAGAAGGGTGGAGGGAGCATTCATGGAAGAGGGTAAAGGATTTCTCTCTAGGAAATTAGAGCTTTTGTGCAGGATGGGGCAATGTCTTTGCTCATACAGCATCGTATGCTCCCTCTTACTCCATTGTCAACACAAAGGTCTTGGTTTGTCTTTCACGCATAGCAACTGGGTCATTACACTCTCGGAGCTTAACCCCTGATGATGATGTTTTTCAATATCTTGCAAATACCTACGCTTCAAGAAATCTCAACATGAAGAAAGGAGATCAGTGTAAAAATAAAATGAACTTTCCTAATGGGATTACTAATGGATACTCTTGGTACCCACTCAGAGGTGAGTTTCTCCTCATTTCTGTCATGCTCCCTATTGCCTGCACCCAGAAGTACCAGCTGGTTTTTGTTGACCCTGGCAGCTGTCATAAGTTCGTTAGGCACAGTGCAGTCCCTTCAATCACAAGAACAGTTGGGGGGACTGGTCGTGGGAGAGGCGCTTGGACATGTTCCTCACTGCCAAGGCTGCCTTCATTCATTCAGATACTTGCACAACTTTTTCCTACTAAGACTCAGGAACTGTGCCCAGAAAGATGAACAGGACACAGATCTTCACCCCAAGTTTAATAGGAAAGAGCGACATGCAAATAAATAATTGTAATGGCAGTATAATTAGAATAAAAATAGAGATTTAGAAAAGGTACAGTGTACCAGGGTATAAAACCAAAATACAGGAGGGAGGGGGAAGGCCTTGGAGAAATTGAAAGCTTATATCTCATCTAATGGGGACAGCTGCTCCTTGGATCCAGTTAATTATTGCTGTGCCGCAGTGGGTCCCATTATTGCCGCATCTTCCAGTTTGTAAAACAAGCTGGATTTGTACCTGAAGTCTCATGATTTTAAAGCCGCTCTGCAGACTAACCAAGAGAGCTCCTCAGGCTGGATACCGTGGGAGGGGGGCCTCCACTTTTCCAGCCTTAGAACAGGATGGCTGGGTGAGGGAGGGGAACTGGTAGGCAGGAAACGTGGGAGCAGAGATGCTCTTATCAGAAGGAGTAATATAAGTAGAAGCCCAGGGATGTCAGACAACTCATCCTAGTCTGGGAACGGAATGCTGATAGGAGGAAGACAGAAAGATGGGAGGGAAGACAGTGGGCTGGCTCCAGATTTCCATGGCCTCAGTGGAAAATATCCCCTTTGATGCTGGTTTGCCTGAGCCTCCCAACAACAAGATTCAGGCTGCATTTCTGCACACAGGACACTTGCCCAGTTGTTACTTTGGGTGCATAAGCTATCACGTAGTCCTGCATAAGCTGGTCCTTTTGTGTCTGGGCAGCTTTCTGCCAGCTTTCCAGGTAACATAAATAAGCAGAGACCACAACACCCCAGACCTCTCTCTGCTCCCCTAGACATAGCCTATCCCGTCCCCACGGCCCCGGCCTCAGGGCTCCAGCCTAACCGCTGCTCATCACTCTTCGTGGGGAGGAAAGGGCCCCTCCTGCCCAATGGCAGAGCTGTCTTTCCCGTACACTGTGTGTAAGTTTCAAGACCGATCCAGATGTGTGGGAAATTAGCTAGGAACCCCAATCTTGCTGTCAGGAATTGTTCCCAAGTGTGCCTATGTGCAAGCTGTGTATCCTTCTGGGAAAAAAGGTGGACAGAGCCAGCTACTTAAAGGGGCTTAACACAAAGCATTCCAGCTCGGCCTGCAGGGTTCATCAGCCAGGCCTGACTGGCCTTATCCAGAGGTGCACACACTCTCCGCACTTGGCATTCTCAATTCTGCGTACTGTGCACACCTGTTTTACCATGTAAATTCTGTCCACCTGAGACACAGCCATCTGCCAAGGGCTTCTGTCCTCTTTCTCTCTCCATTTTTTCCCCTCTTCTATTTCATGGTGAAAATGAGGTTGGGGAGAAATACAGAACTCTTATTAAAAAAAAAAAAAAAATAGGAAGGACAGCGAAATTCTTCCTGGCTAGAATCTGGACCTGCATAAAAACTATTTACTATTTAAATAATATTTTGATTTATCAATATTTCAACCACTTTTAGCATACAATTTTTTTCTACTTTACTCCTTCCCAAATACCCTGATGTAGTTGAGAATACATATTTAACAGGGCAGATACCAAGTACAACAAATTAAAGTATGGCAGAAACTGCTTCCTTCAAAGTTACTATATTTCATCAAATCCAAAATGGCATTGATGTGTAAAATATAATGTCCTATTGAGAAAAGAAGAACAAAATATTTCCAGCCAAACTGACGACACAAGGATGTTTTTCAACCATCAGATTTAAGACACATCCCAATTCAGAGATTTTAAAATATGGAAAATTTTGCACCTTAGAAAATATGAAATATGACTATAACGCTTTGAAAACAGGCTCTCCGGAGGTACGAACTGGGAAGTAAGCAGGGCGATGGCCACCCCGAAGCAGCAGCATTGGTCTGGGCCTCTTCCCTCCCTAGAGTCAGCCGGCACCTTTTTTTCCTTCCTGGAAACAGTTTAACGTCATGAGTAAGGGCACGGGGGCTCACACAGGAGCCTGTGCTCTGGTCTGTCAACCCCTGCCTGCAGTCCCTGAGCGTGTAACTTATCGTCTGTGATTAAGTTTCCTCATCTGCAACATGTGGGTAGTAATTGCGGTGAGGCTTACGTGAGTTGCTACAAAGCTCTTCAAACAGTACCTGGCAATAGCGAACACTCAGTAAACATTGGCCAGGATTATTCCTCCAAATCAGTGTACTTAGCTTTATGTTATGAGTGTATTTATAAATGGTTTATTGGACTGTTTCTAAATAAGTCTCACTGTAGCGTGCATCTGCTCAAAACGTAATTTAGGAAAGAAATATAATTTGAAGAATCCTTTTTTTAGCGCATGATTACCAAATGGAACCCTTCCCCTACCCCTCGCTTAATTTTATGCACAGTTGTACTTCATTTAGCTGTGATCTAGTTACCCATATGGGAATACTTAGGTTTGCCTGGTCATGCCTGAGTAATAAATTTTCAAGCCCTGATTTTGTATGCTAATATGTCAAACTCACCTTTTCCTGTTTACATGTATTTTCCTTGCAACTGTCTGGTTCACTTGAGCTCAAGGTATGGGACACTTGGCTTCACCCCAATTTTAGACCTTAAAAAATATTAAATATGCTTGTGTTTAGGTGGAATGCAAGATTATAATTACATCTGGGCCCAGTGTTTTGAAATTACGTTGGAGCTGTCATGCTGTAAATATCCTCGTGAGGAGAAGCTTCCACTCTTCTGGGATTCTAACAAAGCCTCGTTGATTGAATACATAAAACAGGTGCACCTAGGTTTGTGAGATTTTCTTATTAATTACTCTTAACAGAAAATATGACATCTTGGCAGAACCCCTGCATTGAAAAAATGCAGGACCCTATTTGTGTCTTCTAGGTACAGCTTTCATTTTTGTACCAGAACTAACGGTTGAGAATTCTCTATGCATGAATATCTGCAGCGTGTGAGAAACGCAGTGCCCGTGAGTTCATATAAGAGAAAGTATGGTGTGTGTTACTTTAATGTGGGGATGTAAAATCCAGAGTACTTCTAATTTTACAAGGTGAATGACCTGGAAAACTGGCAAAAGACCAGGAAACCAGGTTGTTACTGTTACATCATCACCCAGTTAGAAAAAAGCCAAGTTTGCTTGTCAGCCGCCATGTAATATCACAGGCTCAGAGAACACCGGACAGGCCGTTTTGTATTTTCCTAGAACTGGGGTAGCGATCGAACACCATGAGCTTTAACTCCTCCCACCCCTCCACTCTGCCAAATGACTTGGCACTGGGAACCTTCCCAACTCGTGTTTTGACAGCTGACTGGCCTTTATCACAGATGAACAGACTAAATGTGGCAAGAGTGGTAATTCTCAAGCACGTGCAGCCAACTCATGGGAAGGGTCTGTTAAAACACAGATTGCCAGGCCCCATCCCCAGGGTGTGATTTAGAGTGTGGTTAACATCTTCCCAGGTGATGCTGATGCTGGAAACACTCTGCTGGTGATGATGATGGAATCACACACCGTCCAAGTTTAGTTGACCCGACTGTGTCTCCTTGGCCAGGGTGTGGAGGGCTCTTCTGCATTGCGAGAGTTAAAGTTATTTTGCTCCCTTTAGAGTGGCTCGGGGGGAAGAAACATCAGGAACTGGGACAAGAGTTATGCTACCACATCAAGCAAAAGTGGAGGGTGAATGTTTGTGTTGAAGATGTGTGTATCGTGTGCCTGCTGCACAATTCCTGTCATATTCTGCATGCTTCCCACCTGCTAAATGAGATGGATATGGTTGATGGAGGGAATAGCAAGAAGCACAGGGGCCCAAGGCTAAGTATAAGGAGAATCAAGAGCTTTCCTTGGCCACACAGCCCCAAAATGGATGCCCCCCACTTTCAGGCTTATATCCCCAATCCTGTGCCCCCCACCCCAATACAAGCACGCAGAGACTGTTGGGAACCCACAGGGCTCATCTCTCCAGCAGAGACACATGGGGTAGGTTGAGTCCCTGTGACAGATGTTACAAATTTTCGTCTTTTTCACCAGCATCTTAATAACATTTATTAAGCTTATTATTGGTCTTTCTGCTTTCTGTCATCAAACTTGGTTTTGGGTCCTCTCTTCCTTAATATTCTGGTATTTCTCCACTAGATTTTCCTTTCTGTTGTACTTCTACCTATCTTGATCTTTTAGTGTGTACTCTGCCTGTTCTTTTCTAAAATTCCTCCTTCATCAACATCACCAGTGGAGGGCAACTGAACATGAAATATGCTCCACGTAACTGCACTATTTCTGGAATTTCAGTCTACTTGTAAAGGTTACTTAGCAAGCACTGAATTAAGGCAGGCTCTGAAGTATCATGCTGACGTAACTCTGCCAGTGAAGGAGCTTTGTATGCTGTTAAATAATATATAAACTATGGCACAACTAGTGTCATTAATTTGGAAGGCTTATAAGTCCACTTACACTAGGTTTTATAAAGGATATGTTATTTGTCTGCCCATCTCTATAATCAGATATATACAACTGACTTAAAAATATATGTTAGCACATCAACCCTGCCCCCTTGTGGTTTAAGACAGGGGCATTTTTTTCCTAGTTTAATCATGAAACCCTAGTTCAAAACATGGCTACAATGTAGATATTTTTACTTGGTAGAAAGATTCTCTTCAAATTGGTGCCCAGGAGGAAGCCAAAGCGTATCTTTGTGGCTGATGGGAGCGAACACCTCCTTATTAGTATTGTTTTGGTTTAACAGAACTGTTGATATTTGTCCATCTAAGTCACATTCACGGGGCCAGTTTCACTACTTGCTAAGATGACTCTAAGTCTCTGAGATGTTGGCCCCCAACATCTGGCCTTTCTTGGCCTCTTGCTCTAATGGAAGGACCTGGCCAAGGGGACAGGGGCCTGGGTAAGGCCCAAGCTGTTTTGTCGTCTGCCCTTGTGTAAAACCTTGAACAAGCCACTTGTCTGAACTGCAGTTTCAGTGAACTTCTGGTCTCTCTATCCTTCTCCATTGATCTGATGGAGATATATATGGTGTAACAGAATATATCTGCTTTGATTAGTATACCTTCGTAGCACAGTTTCAAATAAGGAAACAGATACCTCCCACGTTGTTTTTTCTCAAGATTTCTTTGGCTATTCGGGGTCTTTTGTGGTTCCATATAAATTTTAGGGTTACCTGTTCTAGTTCTGAGAAGAATGTCATTGGTATTTTAAGGAGGATTCCAGACATTAAGACCAAGATAGCAAAGGAGGGTGAGTCCAAGTTCTAGGGCCCTGGGATGCTTGTCCCCCTCTCTGGGGAGAAGCAAAGATGAACAAGACAAGCCTTGGCTGGTGTGGCTCAGGGCGTTGGGTGTGGCCCCGCAAACTGAAAGGCATCCAGCTGGATCCCCAGGCTGGGCACGAGCCTGGGTTGCAGGCCAGGACCCCAGCTGGGGGCATGTGAAAGGCAACTGATCAATGTTTCTCTCTCACATTGATGTTTCTCCCCCTCTCTTTCTCCCTCCCTTCCCTTCTCTCTAAAAATAAATAAATAAAATCTTTTTTCATAAAAAAGATGAGCAAGACACAATTTTACCTGTTGCTGTCCTCTCTCCTCAAAGCAGTTCTGAACCCCAAAGTTTGGAGTATGGCCCGCAGCACACAGAAATGTAAACAACCTGGTCCAAGGTATCTGATATATGCTGAAGCCAGTGGGACTCAGATACCTATCTGTCATCAGACGCAGAATAGGTGGCAACTGCGATCATTAGGTGGGAACCAGGGAGTGAACAAGCAGTCTCCAAGTACCACCCTGCTCGGACTCTGCATTGCGCCCTACAGATGCAGAATTCCAGTCCTTACCAGACACGGGCTTTTTGTTCATGAAGCTTGATACATTTCCAAGAGAGGGTGAGCTTTACATTTCTTCCCCTCATTTTCCTGCGTGGCCACAAAATTTGTCTCACATTTTATTCTCCTTTGTTTATCACCTGAGCTTTCTTCAAAATTTTACTTTTTGTTCCCCTGATGTAATAGTACTGGCTCTCTATACATCTCTTTGGATCTACTGGTGTTTTTCCAATGTTTCAATGTCAACATGTACAAATAAATCACATCTTCTGGTAAAACAATTAATTTCCTCTCAGTGAAAGGTTTGGTGATGCCTGGACAGACTATTGTAAAGACATGTAAGACATGAAGCTTTTGTTTAGCTGATGGTGTGGGGTTTCCCTCAGATAGAAACTCCATGTTTAGGCATGGTCTGTGTTTATTCAGCAACAGTGACATTCCAATACCCCAGCCTTCCCTCGCTTGAAGAACTGTCTAGGTTTGTGTAAGGGTCATATGGAAGTGAATGTTTGGATTTTTAGAGGATAGTTAATGAGGGTCAAACTGAATTGTGAAGATTTTTGTGATTCCCCTGAATCCAATTATTCCACTTTTCCCATATTTGAGGGTAGGCAGACTACAGGTCACTTGAAATCTTTGTTCAGTTGTGACACATACTAATATATGGGTGTCATATGGGTACCTAAGACCATCCAAAAACACTGTTCATGTGAAAATTAAAGTCTGTTGTGTTCAAGTATAACCAATTCTATCCAAGAAGGAATTTGCTACCCTTTTTTAAGGACCGTGATATTTTTTCTCTTAGTGTCTTCTGCCAGCTACTCATTATTAGCATCCTGAATTCTGTTTCAGCATTATCTTAGAAGTTAAAGGATAGTATTAAGTCAGTTACAAAGGTAGTTTTTAATTTTTTAAGTTTGCTTTTTATTTTGTTTGATTTGATTGGTTTTGTAGAAGTCAGTGAAAAAAAGAAAAGATGCCAACAGACAACACCTCCACCACAAGCTATGTTGCTCAAATGCACAAGTTTTCTAAGTGGCAGGAAAATGAGCTAGTTCAGAGACCCGAAGGAGGAAGAAATACGCATTGCTTCTTCCATCACATACTCCAGACCTTGTTGGAACAAAGTTGAATTGACAGTCCAGAAATGTACTCAGTATTTGTTACAACTACAAATTTCAATAGCTACATTCTTTCTGTTCCTTTGTATAGTTTTTCTTACCCAAATAAGAAAAGGATTAAGAAAAGAATATGGACTGGTCAAAGCTATTTTTTTAAAAAAGAAAAATATTAATATTTGTTCAGCCTTCTGTTGTGTTTGATCGCCACAACCATCCTGGAAGGTCGTGACCCAGGAGACAGCATAGGAAGACCTCGAGGCTGAGCTTCCGTTGCTGGCCAGCAGCTCCTGGTTGCCAGGCAACTCCTTTTAGCATTTAGATAGCAGCTAGAAATGAGCAGCCAGAGGGTAAACAAAGGCAGAGCCCTCACCATTTCAATCTAACAAAGAACTGAACACAGGAGGCTAAAAGCAAAGGAAGACACGTCTCACCCGTGGACCCAGCAGTCCTGAGCCTGATGGATGAGGCTGCCAGGCATTCGGAACAAGACAGTGCAGGAGAGGGGAGCCCTTGAAAGTCTGTGTGTATCATCTCCCCTAGTTGGGAAAAGGAAAACCCTGAGACACTGTGTTCATTCCAAAGCCTGGAAAGGGGAAGGGTAGAGTCTACAGCCCGAAGAAAGGGCCCATAAAACAACTTTGGTTAACTGCCTGCCTCCCATCACATATGCAAAATGAACAAATAGAGTCTAAAGCAAAATAAAGATTTGGGCTAACAGACGCCAGAGCATGATATGAATTCGGACTAACAGACCCCCACACATACCTATGTTTGGGTAGTCATATCCCCCTGGGGAAGCTGGCACCACCTTTACCTGTCAACCAATATGCAAACTTCT